ATTTTACAATGCTGACAAAGTAACATCTCATTCTCTTGCTTTACATTTGAATAAATAGCTTAAGAAATGCTGTGGCCCTGCTTTATACTATTTATGAAAGAAAAGAGGGGGGAACTAAAGGGCCGCCACTAGTACAAGTTATTTTTGTATTACTGTATTTTCTTCTCAAAGGTTTTTGTTTTAATTTATTTATTTAAAAAAAAAATTTTTTTTGGTTACGAGCTCCCCCTACTGGGGTGATATTATATTTTTAGAACCATGGGATATTTTGCTCGGAGCCACACACGGTAGGCTTGGTGTGTAGGAGAAGGTGGACCGGCTGGCCACGAGAGTGCTTGTTAAAGAGCACTGCGTTTGGATTTATGTTCATATATGTATTGTGTTATGTGTTAATTGTGTATGTGTGTGTGTTGCTTTCCCGTTTTTTCCCAGACATCCCCCTTTTATTTTCTTTGTTTTAGCTGCCAGATCCTCAGGGTGTGATCCAGATAGTGGACGGTATAGGAGCGTAGTGGGCATGTTGGACTGTGGACTCCTGGCATGGCACCAAACATGGATGTGAGCAGAATGGGCACAAATTTGATGAGCTGGAACGTAAGGGCGATCAATAAGCCGGAAAAACGGAGTAAGATATTTTCGTATTTAAGAGACCAGGGAGCAGAGATAGTATATTTGCAAGAGACACACCTGTTAAATAGGGATCACCTCAAACTGTGTAGGGGGGGATTTAATCAGATTTATCATTCAAATTTTGATAGTAGGAGTCGAGGAGTGGCCATCCTTATACACAGGAATGTACAATTCATAGAAACATCTGCCATAAAAGATAAACATGGTCGATATGTTATTGTAGCTGGGAAATTATTCAATATGCCGGTAGTGTTGGCAAATGTATACGCACCCAACTGGGATAATGTTCAATTTTTTAAGGATTTGTTTTCACTACTACCTAATTTGGACACACATAATCTGATTTTGGGGGGAGACCTGAACTGTGTCCTAGATTTAACTTTGGACCACTCTAGCCCAACACTTAATGTGTTAAGTAAATCTGCTCAATGTGTTAATTCCTTTTGTAAAACATATGGTATATTCGATCCATGGAAATATGCAAATCCGACTGCTAGACAGTACTCATTTTATTCCCCGCCACACCAAACTTATACTAGGATTGATTATTTTTTGTTAGACAATAAATTGACCCCTATGGTAATGAATGTAGAATACCCTGGTATAGTATTATCTGACCATAGCCCGGTCACACTGAAAATTAAATTCCCTGAGTATGCACCACCTCGGAGGATGTGGCGCCTTAATAATAGATTATTGGCTGATGAGGATTTTAAAGAATTCATTAATTCGCAAATAGTTTTTTTTCCTGGATCTTAACGATACTTCTGATATAAGCAGTGGCACTTTATGGGAATCATTGAAAGCGTATATACGTGGACAAATCATTTCATACAGTGCTGGTGAAAGGAAAAGAAAAATTAAACATACCACAGAATTAATGAAAGCAATAAAAGAAGTTGACCAGGCAAATTCTATGACTCCATTAGAGGAGCTGCATAGAAAAAGGATCCTGCTCCAGACTGAATATGATATCCTGACAAGTCAGCATGAGGAGGACTCATATCTTAGGTTAAGGCAAGGTCTCTACGAGCATGGCGAGCGCGCTGGTAAACTCCTGAGCTACCAACTGAAACAATCAGCAACTGCTGGTAGGATAGTAGAGATAGGAGATAATATGGGTAATAAAATTATAGATCATATGGGTATTAATAATGAATTTAAATCTTTTTATGAGGACTTGTACACCTCAGAAATAAATGATAGGGACCGAGTGAAGGATTTTTTTGAAAACCTTGAAATATTACCACTAGAGGCAGCTGACAGAGATAGGTTGGAGGAACCCATCTCGACCACGGAGATAGACAAAGCAATTCGGAGTATGAAGACAGGAAAAGCGCCGGGCCCTGATGGCTACCCAAGTGAGTTTTACAAAACATTTGCTCCCAAACTGATACCCTTGCTTCACAGATAATTTATGGAAGCTCTTGATAAAAAAGCTTTGCCCCAAACAATGTCGCAAGCTTTGATCTCTGTACTCCTTACGAAGAATAAGGACCCACTTAAATGTGAGTCGTATCGCCCAGTAAGTTTACTTGGATGTGATTATAAAATACTGACTAAAGTACTGGCAGCTAGAATTGAGCTTATTATAAATAAGATAATACATCCTGATCAGACAGGGTTTGTTACAGGTAGACAACTTTCCAGCAATCTCCGCCGTCTGTTTAATGTAATATATACTGCTGAAGATAACAATGTACCAGAGATTGTGATATCCCTTGATGCCCACAAAGCCTTTGACAGAATAGAATATTATTATTTATTTATGGCTCTTGAAAGATTTGGCTTTGGTCCAACATTTTGTTCGTGGATTAAAATAATTTATTTGAGCCCCCAGGCTAGGGTGAGAACAAATAATATCATATCTGAACCCTTCTCTCTACTCCGGGGAACAAGACAGGGGTGCCCTTTGTCACCCCTGCTCTTTGATGTGGCAATTGAACCTCTTGCGATAAAGCTGAGACAGGCTGCTGAATTGGTGGGGATACAAAGGGGGACACAAAATCATAGGCTATCCTTATATGCGGACGATCTCCTCCTCTTCCTGTCAAACCCTGACATTAGTATCCCGGTGGCACTTGGTATTATCAAGGATTTTGGGGGGTGTCGGGCTATAAAATTAATTTAGACAAAAGTGTTCTTTTCCCCATTAATAAACAGGCGAGGAAACTTTCTTTCCGGGCCTATCCCTTGGCAATACATAAGGACAAATTCACGTACTTAGGTGTTAATGTAACTAGTAAATATAAAGATTTGCTGGACAAGAACTTTAAGGTTACACTGGACAAAGCAAAATTAGATATGGAAAGGTGGGCATCACTCCCCTTATCATTAGCAGGGAAGATAAATTCTGTTAAAATGAATATAATGCCACGGTTCCTTTATTTATTTCAGACGATACCAATTTTCATTCCTAAATCATTTTTTAAGGAATTGAACAAATGTACATCTACCTTTATCTGGAAAAAAACAGTCCCCAGGATAAGAAGAGAGTTTCTGGAGAGACAGAAAGAAGAAGGAGGCCTGGCTCTGCCGAATTATATGCACTATTATTTTGCTGCTAATATACATAAGTTGTTATTTTGGGTCAAAGGGTTAGATGAGGATGAAACCCCAATATGGGTTCATATGGAAAGGTATGTCTCTAGCCCAGTGTCCCTGCGCTCCCTGGTCTGCGCTCCTTTACCCTTGAGCAAACATCTTTACACAAATAACCCGGTTATATCTAACTCTTTGAAAATTTGGACTCAATTCAGATTACATTTTGGAAACAGGAATGCCCTCCTAGCTGCTCCCATCTATGGAAATCATTTGTTTTCCCCAGCCCTTGGGGGAACAGCCTTTAGGGAATGGCACAGAGCTGGGGTGGAATGCGTCAAATATCTTTTTAAAAATGGTACTTTTATGTCTGCTGCTCAACTGGAAAAGGACTATGGAATCTCCTCCAAGACTAACTATTTCAGATATCTCCAGGTTCGGGACTTTGTGAAAAAGTCATTCAGCCCCTCCCTCGAGCTTCCACAAAGTGGATGGATAGATGAGCTGATGGGCACAGATCCGACCGCTAAGGGGACAATCTCAACGTTATATGCAAGTATTCAGAATGTGGCTTCCCCCTCCCTGGACAACGTAAGAAGGAAATGGGAGGAAGAATTGGGACTGGACATTTCAGAGGTTGACTGGGGAGGGGCAGTAGATCTAGTACACTCTGCTTCTGTATGTATAAGACATGGATTGATACAGTTTAAAGTGTTACATAGACTCCACTTGTCAAAGGAGAAACTGGCAAGAATGTACCGGGGGTCCGATCCGACCTGCCCCAGATGTAAACAGGTGCCAGCCAACTTATGCCATATGTTTTGGTCTTGTCCCAGGCTGAAAGACTTTTGGACTAACATCTTTAGAACGTTCTCACTTATTTATAACGAAGACATGGAACCAATGCCTCTGACAGCCATCTTTGGTGTGGCACCGAGGGAAACTCGCCTAACAGCCTCTCAGAGGAAGGCAATAGCATTTACCTCATTGTTGGCCAGGAGACTTATTCTATTTAACTGGATAAAGGCAACACCGCCATCCCACAAACGCTGGTTGGAAGAAGTGATGGCACACCTCAAATTAGAACATCTCAGATTCACGATTCAGGGCAACACCAAAAAATTCTTTAAGGTCTGGCAGCCTTTCATTTCTTATTTTGAAGATAAGTTGCCGTCTACTCCATAACTGGCAACCCCCCCCCCCCCCCCCCCCTTATTTTTTATTTTATTTTTTTGTCTGGGTATAGTTTTATTTTGCATTGTGTTGTAGGATTTGAGTTTGAGCTTTTTTGCGTGAATGATATGCTTTTTGAAAACTTAATAAAAACACTTTGATTATTATTATTTTTTAACAAAGCCTCCTGGGATCAAGCTAGTTTACGGTGGGTTTTTCCTATTACACATTCAAGCTAGTTTTCGGTGGGGCATGTTTTAGCCTTAAATTACATGAAAAAAAATTGCGGTATTAGATCTTATATAAAAAACAAACCAAAAATGCCCAAACACGTATTTATTTTTTTGTGAACGTGAACTGTGAACGTTTAAGACAAATAGCAACACTTAAATCAACTTCCGAAGTGGAAAAACTAATATCCGCGATAAACATCTGTTTTAGTACCATAAGAGGTTATCTCTGCTTTCTGAATGTCCATATTGCTAGATATGCTGAGTTTTAAGGCGAAATCCTGGGGAATTTCGTCTAGAAATGCAATTACCTAACCGTGCGCGATCCCGCGGTGGCTAATCATTTTTTGGCAGCGAGTCGATTTATGGCACAACACCGGCGTGCGCGAGCCCACCCCAGCCTGTTGTTTGTGAGATTAGATTAGGCTGCTTTTAGCTCGCTGCCGGGGAGCGCGAGGACACCGAGAGAGTGAGAAGAGCACCCTTTAGCTTCCATTGGTCCTCCGGGAAAGATGTCAGTGATGAGTCCATCCCGAGAAACCAGGAGCTAACTGGATGTTTGGTCAGAAAGTTTCCCTTCGGACGAAGATAAAGCCACCGAGAGGGACAGGTGTCAGCCGCCGGACTGCTAGCGGGTCAAACTCTTATTTTCTTTTCCAAGGGAGCAGGACTCTTTTTCCGAGCCATGTTGTGGACCAGGGGGCTCGTCCTGCTGCTCTGCTGGGGGGTTACCAGCGGCGAGCTACAGGCGGAGGAGAGGGACGGCGCCCGGGATGAGGTCAGGTCGGACTCCCGCAGACAGCGCTCCCCTCCTCCTGTGGAGCCGCTGGACTTTGGGTTTGTTCCAGCTGCGGTTTATGACACCCATGCCTATTACGAACCCGGGACCATAGGCATCCTTTTCCACGTGGTCCATGCGTTCCTCTACGTTGTTCAGCCAAACTCCTTCCCCAAAGGTGAGGACCTCCTCCACCCCCAGCACATCTTTCACTATTCCCCATCCTTTCTTGAATTTATTAGAAACATCAGATTTTAATAAATCAGCCAATAATTAATTCCAACAAAGGCTATCTATGGAACTAATTTGTCTCAGAATTAATTTATCCTAATCTGGTCCATGTGACCTCTTTTCTTTACAGATAAACTTTTAGTAAAACACATGTAAAAAAAGTATATGGTCATGTAATAAAAGTAAAAAAAATAAATTTAATGCTATGGTAATACTGGGTATGCAGATTTATTTAATGGGTTGTAGCTTCTAAATTCACATGCAGACTAATTATTAGTTGGATGGGTTTGTTTTAGTGATATTTGTGATATTTAAAAAGATTTGTCTACAAAACAGGCTCAATAACCTTTGAATGAAGGACAGTGCAAATGGTAGCAGTTTATGGATTACAATTAATAAAGGTGCATCATATTTATAACATATTAAAAACATTAATATGTTTCTCTGTAGGAATATAAGCTGTGTTCAATTTAAACTGCAAAAACCTAATAAAATATTACTGTGTTTGTTTAAGTTTAACTTCATCTTATACCATCTCGGTCATAAATCTAAAGAAACTGTCTTATTCACAAGAGGAAGTTGGAATTGTGTTGATTATTAAGATCAATATTAGATAATTTTCTTTTTCATGTGTCTTATATGCATTGTTTGTCATGTGTGGCAATAGTCTAACCCACGACATACAGAATCAGTCCACGAACCAGGGTGAGAGTTTCAAAAAAAAATTTATTAAAAGGGAAACTAAAAGAGCAGTGAGGAAGTCAAGCTGAGTTCTTCAGACAGGATTTCGGTGGGGGGATCTGGAGACAGAGGGTGTTAGGTCCGGTACAAGATGACTGATTGATATTTGGTCGGAGAGGACTACGGTCTTGAAGTGTGGATGACTCGAGAGGGGAGTGGGTCCGGTCTGAGGACTAGGAGCTTACTTGTGGCAGGGTTCCTGAGCGCTTTAGGTGGAGGGAGCTGAGCATGGAGGTTGGTGTAGATCCGGGTGGGTTTAGGTGCGCTATCGGGAGTGGGGAGACCAGGGACGTACCGAGAGACGAGTGGGGTGACGAGGAGTTCCAGGTTGCCTTCTGTCTGAGGTGGAAGTGGAGCGATGTCTGCAGAGAGGGTGAACATGAGGTCAAACAAAAAATCTACAGCTAGTTCTCTGAATTGGCTGTTTGGTGATACCAAAATTGAGTTAATCATCCAGCGAAGTGAAGGCGTCTCTCAAGTGCTTAAAGTGCTTCCTACAAGGCACATGTAGAAGTTTCCTACAAGGAAATCGCTGACTTAGCTGAATTTTGTTTTGCGAAACTGAACTTCAGCGACCTATTTTACATCATACATTAAATAGCAAAGTCCAAAAAGCACTCAAAACTTCAAACAAAAGGTTGTGGTGCTAGTTATTTGCACAGTGCTGCTGTGTGAGTGGGAATATATAGACACATACATATTTTTGAAAGGGAAATTAAACTTTCTGTGCAATGTTTTCTTCATTATAAAAAAACTGCTCACACTGTTGTGGTAGTGGTGGCTTGTGCTTGTTGAACCTATGAGCCTATTTTAGTAGCAGATTAATGGGACCATTAGCTATCATAGGTCATAAATGATCTCCATGGAGTCATGCTGTTAGAGGTGGATAAGAGGTGGCCATGTAATCAATGGATAACTTCTTCAAACCAAGTTCTGTAGTTCAGTAGCACAGTGATCAATACACAGAGAGGTTGAACTATTAAAAGCTGTTTATGTGTCACATGTAGAACTGTAAATGGAGGATGGCACAGAGCAATAGGATTGAAGGTTTTACGTTGATGCTGTTTTGGTGTCCAGTGTTACCAACGCTGGCTGGGTAACCAGTTAGCAAATCAGTGATTAGAGGAGGCTTTCTCTGTCACCTGCATCACTACATAATACCTTAATCCACCGGGCCATATGCTGCAGCCTTTGTGGACTTTCCAGTGATTTACAATTACCCATATGCACAGGCAGAGCACCTGTAGGGGACACCAGCTCACACATCACGCTAAGTATCTGACACTGCTTAAAATGTGCGGTGCACCTCATCTGCCAGGTCCTTTTGAGTCAGTAAATAAGTAAACAAACTCAGAGCCAAGCAGCGTCAACAGTCAAGGAAATTTACGTGTAAGAAGCTTTTTATTTGTCTAGTACTTCAAGAAGACTTCAATGTTATCCTTCAAAAAATAATGATCCACATTCAAAGCCCTAATAGTTACATTTATTTTTATATCTTCATCTTTTACATTAACTTTGATTTATTGAACCTTTGAATTGAATTGATTTGTGTCTGCATGAAAAGTTAAAAATATGCACATTAAATATGTCAAATTTCTTATAAAAATTTCTAATATCAATATGGTGTTTTGGAACACGTATTTTTATTCATCATGAGAGAGATGTGAATGTAAAATGAGATTCTTAAAACAAAGAAGTGATTTTATAATTTGGTCTATGACTCTGAACTTGAATGGTTTTCCATAAGAAATGAAAAAATTAGGGATGCTGGTATGGGTATCGGTGCTGATACCAGTACCAGTATTGATATCGGTAAAAGTTAACTGATACCAGGAACCAATACCAATGCAGTTACCTGAAAGTGGCTTCACTGTAACTTGTTGTTTCTGTTCACCTGATATTTTAGTTTTGTGATCATTTCTATTAATATGTTTTATTTTTCATCTACCTCACAGTCTTTTCCTGTTGAAACCAGAAAAGAAAAGAAAACCTGGATTCCAATTCATTACATTTTTTGTGTGGTAGAAGTATCGGTAATCGGTATCGGCAAGTACACAGATCCAAGTATCGCCATCGTAACGGTTTGGAAAAAAGTGGTATCGATGAATCCCTAGAAAAAATGATAGCTAAAGTCAGTGTTGGGATATTTCATTTTAAAAATGAACTAGTTCAAAGTTCAGTTCATACATTTTAAAACAAACTAATTTTTTTGTTAAAAAAAAACTACAGGTCCTTCTCAAAAAAGTAGCATATTGTGATAAAGTTCATTATTGTCTGTAATGTACTGATAAACATTAGACTTTCATATTTATTTTATTCATTACACACAACTGAAGTAGTTCAAGCCTTTTATTGTTTCTAATATTGATGATTGTGGCGTACAGCTCATGAAAACCCAAAATTCCTCTATCTCAAAAATTAGCATATCATGAAAAGGTTCTCTAAACGAGCTATTAACCTAATCATCTGAATCAACTAATTAACTCCAAACACCTGTAAAAGATTCCTGAGGCTTTTAAAAACGCCCAGCCTGGTTCATTACTCAAAACCGCAATCATGGGTAAGACAGCCGACCTGACTGCTGTCCAGAAGGCCATCATTGACGCCCTCAAGCAAGAGGGTAAGACACAGAAAGAAATTTCTGAACAAATAGGCTGTTCCCAGCGTGCTGTATCAAGGCACCTCAGTGGGAAGTGTGTAGGAAGGAAAAAGTGTGGCAGAAAACGCTTCACAACGAGAAGAGGTGACCGGACCCTGAGGAAGATTGTGGAGAAGAACAGATTCCAGACCTTGGGGGATCTGCGGAAGCAGTTGACTGAGTCTGGAGTAGAAACATCCAGAGCCACCGTGTACAGGCGTGTGCAGGAAATGGGCTACAGGTGCTGCAGTCCCCAGGTCAAGCCACTTTTGAACCAGAAATAGCGGCAGAAGCGCCTGACCTGGGCTACAGAGAAGCAGCACCGGACTGTTGCTCAGTGGTCCAAAGTACTTTTTTCGGATGAAAGTAAATTTTGCATGTCATTCGGAAATCAAGGTGCCAGAGTCTGGAGGAAGACTGGGCAGAGGGAAATGCCAAAATGTCTGATGTCCAGTGTCAAGTACCCACAGTCAGTAATGGTCTGGGGTGCCATGTCAGCTGCTGGTGTTGGTCCACTGTGTTTTATCAAGGGCAGGGTCAATGCAGCTAGCTATCAGGAGATTTTGGAGCACTTCACGCTTCCATCTGCTGAAAAGCTTTATAGAGATGAAAATTTCATTTTTAAGCACAACCTGGCACCTGCTCACAGTACCAAAACCACTGGGAAATGGTTTACTGACCATGATATTACTGTGCTCAATGGGCCTGCCAATTGACCTTCCGGCTCTTGGAGAGTACAGATGCCTTTTCCTCCTCTCCTCCCTATCTTATCCCAAGGCTCTTTGTCTGTCTTTGGGTGCACGGTGCTTCTGCATTTTTTCTGGAAATGATTAAAAATGGACCTGGTCAGTTGGTCTCGCAATGCGATTGACACAATTTTTTCAATGATGAGAATGGGAGAAGGGGCTCCCGGATGCCCCTCTGAGACAGAGCCTGCTGGGCATATCATGGACTCCTGGAAACAGTGGAACCTGTTCTGCCTTTCTCAACTGTCTGTAGAGGATTCTGAAGACGTCTGGATATTCGTGGTGTTGGTGTCGGGATTCCTGCTGTTTGGCCTGAGCGGTTACCTGGGTTACCAGAAAATTAATTAGCTTTAGAGGGATATTGGCTCAATCCCGGAACTCAGGGATGGATTACACCGCGCTGTGAATGCACAAACTCATATAATTGTCAAGATGAGTTAGGCCTGGGCGATATGGCAAAAAGAATGATCATGATATATTTTTCCATATCGTTCGATCTCGATTTTAATCACGATTAATTTTTACATAGACAGTTTAAAGCAGCTTAAAATGTAAAAATAAAGAAACTAGATATTAGTTAAACCTTTTATTGACATTCTGTGTGTCTTTAATGCTATACAGGTACAAAATAAACAAATTATTTGCTTTGGGAAAATTAACATACCCTAAAATGTGAACTTTTTTATCTGTGATATGTAAATGCCATTTATGCCATAGCTACTGGCACTTAATCTTAACAATACTGTTTAGCTACTTTGCAGGTACAAAATCAAACAACGGAAAACAAATATAAAATATAAAAATTAGCAGTGCAGAATTCTCTAATCAAATATTTTATGCAAACAATAACACACCTATAGACCAAAGTTTAAACTGTAATCCTGAATGTCAGTTTTGCTGTGCTATAAACCAACTGAATAAAATGTGCAGAATTTGTAAACACTTTATCTTAGATAACAATGCAGTATAACTATGTTGCAGCTACAAAATTAAACAATGCAAAACAAATACATATAAAATTAGAACTGAACTCAAATTAAACTGTATTTTTGGCCAAGAAAATCACACACCTAAAGAACAAATTTTAAACTGTAAACCTGATTTTCAGATTTGCCATGTTACAAACCAAATGAATAAATTGTGCAAAACTTGTAAACACAATAGAACATAACACTGGTGCACATTACTTAGGACTACAGCCTGTTCATCTGTTTGACCAGACATGGAAACAGCAAAAGGCTTTTTGAAAAAGGTGCCAAGAGTCTTTTTTTGTTACATTCATTGGTGTAACTGAATATGTGGCTTCTGCTGAGGTAGTTGGTCTGGACTGGGAAGTCTTCCATTCATCCAGCATCTTGATTTTTACAGTCTCTATTTTGCCAGCCTGGACGTAGTTGGTCTTGAAGCGAGGTGCACATTACTTAGGACTTGGTGACAGATTTTTTGCTAGGAACACTAACTCACAGCATCTGGCTTTAAAGCTGCCCTGTGGCATGACACAATATTGCCACCTGTGCTAAAAGCCCTCTCTGAGGGTGAGCTAGTAACAGGAATACAGAGGTACCGCTTTGCCAAGAGGCTAACTCTGGGATATGTTGTGGAGTGGATCTTCCACCATACCAGTGGATTGGTTTCACTGTCTGCATTTGGCACTTGCAGGTAACTGTTTAGTTCAGCCTCTACAGCTTGTTCATCTGTTTGACCAGACATGGAAACAGCAAAAGGCTTTTTGAAAAAGCTGCCAAGAGTCTTTTTTTGTTACTTTCACTGGTGCAGCTGAAGATGTGGCTTCTGCTGAGGTAGTTGGTCTGGACTGTGAAGTCTTCCATTCGTCCAACATCTGAGACACAGTGTTGATCTTTAAAGCCTCTTTTTTTGTCAGCCTGGATGTAGTTGGTCTTGAAGCGAGGATCAACAAGGGTTGCCATGCTCAGGAGGTCATCAGTGACATCATCATCATATTTTTCATTTAAGTAGCAGGTGACTGAATTCTTGATGGCCTTGGTAAGTTCTGTGTCAGTATCATCTGGCTTTAAGAACTCTTCATTAAAGAGCTGAAGGACAGGTTTCACACAAGAGATACTGACATATGCTTCTCCAGAAAGGGCGTCAGTAAAGTCAACCAGGGGATTCAGGGCCTTGTGGACAGACTCTA